TTAGGCCTTTGGGCTTGGCCCATCAGATATATTAACCGATAAATATAAAAAAATTCAAATCCTAAAATTAGTCATTTTTCAATTATTGTTTCCTTTATACTACTATTCACGTTCTCAATTTCCTAAATACAACTTCGAACCACTGAGTTATTATTATAGTTTGACCATCTGTATTTGGGTGTACCGTCAGAGTTCAAGTAACTAATAGTAAAATTAACTTTTGTTCTACTATACACATGAAACCCATTTCAGCAAACAAGAACTTTGAGAACGAACATGTTCTCCTTCGGGCTCGAGCTGACTGGCCAAGGACATTACCGAGTAGGTCAAGAAAAAAAATTTAGTGGTTTTAACACACCAAGTGACGGTGTTTGATGGTGTGCGCACCCAATAAAAGATTGTTACAAGACGCACTAGTTAGTTCCCTTAAAAAAAAAAATTCTAAGAATGCATAACATTTCATTAGTCATGTACATCACCTACTTAAAAATTTTCTCATAGTTCAAATATAATGGCTCTAAATACCACGAGAGTTCTTTACTTGTTCTAGACGTTCCAAATTCAAGTATTAAGATAAAGTAATACTATTGAAATCTAAAAAAAAACTGATCTAATTTGTTAACTTAAACATGTGTCAAGTGATGAAGTCTCAATGAAGAAGTCCGAGAGTTAAAGCCAGTGTTATCAGAACCGGACCGGTTCTACCGTGAACCGGGACCCTAACCGGTTCGGTTCTTTAGTTGAACCGCTTAAGGAAGCGAACTAGTTAAATACCAAAAAATCGGCCGATTTTTAACAAAAATCGTGAACTGCCATTTTTATAAAAATCAGACGGTTTAATGCCTATTTAAAAATTAAATTAAATAAATAATTTTTTTGCCTTAAATCAGTAAATATCTAATTTTTTTTAACCTTATTCTTAGATAAATTATAAATGACACCCCTTCTTTTTCTTTATAATTTACTTGAACCTCTTTACTACTTGCTTTAAAATACAATAACTCCCACTTTGTTACTTAATTTCATTAATTTTATGGCAAATTTTATATATTTTATACATATTTTATATTTTTTAGCTAAATTATTAAGTTTTATAATTATTATATATATATTTTTATTTTTTTATTATATGACCGGTCCGACCAGTTGACCCAACGGTTGAACCAGTGAACCATTGACCCGGTCCCCTTGTCGGTTCGATGACCGGTCCGATTCTGATAACATTGGTTAAAGCCACAACAACCTATTGTACCATTTCACTGTCATATCATTACTTCAACAAATGAGATCAATTTTTTATGTCTTAAAAACATTATTCTTTAGGTAATGACCCTAAAAAGAGTTTATTCTTAAAAAGAAATTAGAGGAAGAGTTATAGTCTTCTACATATAGGGCTCGTTTGGTTTCCATATTAAAAATGGATGGATTGAATAAAGTAATACAGTCTAACATAATTAAGGTGGATAAAAAATAAGATTAAATATGATATTAAAATAATACGTAATTTTATCTTGTGTTTGATACAATATAAACATTGGATAGTTGTTATTTAATTCAATTGATTGTTTAATTAAAGAATTATTTTATCGTATTAATGTTAAATTAACAAAAATACTCTCGATCAATATTTGTTACATTGATGATAGTTTGATTTTATCACTTGGGGAGTTCTCATAATAAATGTTTGAAATAATACGTTTGGCTCTAATTATAATACATCTCTTGGTGGTATTAAAATACCTCCATAATACAAATCTATCGTATAAAAAATATATGACATGTACGATTAATATACGTTTTTGAAATGAATATAGTATCAAATTTGCTTATCAAACAAAATATTAGGCCCGATTAAATAAAAAATAGTATAATCTAATATTTAATTCCTTTATAATACGTCTATCAAATGAGCCCATATGGTATATGGTGTACCTACTATTTCACATATGCAATTGGATACGTATTTGTTAAGGCATAGCTTTGAATCCAATTCATATAGGATTCAAACTCCCATCGCAATCCAGTTAGATAAATAAATTAGACAAACTCACATTTATCTAATTTTTCATTTAACTTATGATGGATCATATCCAAACTTGATTTAGATACCATGGGTTGGAAATAAACCTGATTCAAATACCAATATTATGTCTCAAGATTCAGGAATCAGTAATGCTAGACACACCAAATCCTTCGTCAAAATTCTTACACCAAATCAATGCAACTCCCGCCAACTATTCAACGAATAAGATTGTACTTGATCATTTAGTACAAATATTTTGATGCAAAATTGTTGTACACAAAACATTACTCTTCTGTTGTTATCCAATGAGCACGATATGACATTAGCTAACCTTACCAGCATCAAAGGATCTATTCATCCCTCATCTTCGAAACTACTTCCTGTGTATTCTTCATTCATGACCAATAGATCCACAATAGATACAGATATTAGGAACTCGCTCACATCGAAGCCAAATTCTCCTGTCTCTGTTTTTCCAGCCGAAACTTGGTCCCATCTCTAACTTAGAGCTTATATTGACAACCATGATTTTATCAGTTCCTCCAAAACCATGATTTTATCAGTTCCTCCAAAACCATATGCTATATTACAATCAACATCAATGGTACTTATTTATCCCAGCAAGAAAACAACAACAAATGGTAATGAGTTTCACAGGAAACCATCCAACCTGAATCAATATATGGTGGCCAAGAAAAGTCCATTTTCTTTAGGTTTATTCAGCCAACCAACTACTATTAGTTGGTTATTATACAACTACGTACATTCTTTCCAAACTCTCATAAGATCATATTCCAAACTGAACAAGAATTGATTATAGCACACTGCAATCACTATCAAATTTTAAGGATGCCTCCAGACCAAAGAAAAAAATCAGCCGTAGATCTTTGATACTCACAGTTTCATTCATGATTTTCATGTCAATCCAACTCAGTTTACATTCCTCGACACCTATTCTTGTAAAGAGAGAGAGTAGTTTTATTGTTGTACCATCCAATAACATACAAGCATACTGTCACAGATGTAAGACAGCTACGAAGCTCTCATGGTTATAAATAGAAAGTGAAAGACAAAAAATTCCAGAACTTCCATGAGCATTGCTTGTTTCAGCCATTTTGCGCGGGGCATACTAAACCCACTACGCACCACACCACCAGGAGGCTGACCTAAATACTGAGTCTCTCTTTGCCATTAACTCGTCGTCACCTGCAAAATAATGCCAAAAACTTGACTTTACTAAACAAACAAAAAAAAAAGGCCCTTTCTATATTATTAGTAAAACTCAATAGGGTTTCACACCTTCCTCATGAGGAGAAACAACTTCTGGTCAAGATCAAACTTAGCTACAATGGAAGGCTCCCCCCTTAGCATCATCAGAAGCCCACCATATGAAACATATATGTCCCTGAGTTCAACAAGAATAAACCACATTAACAGAGTTGATGAAAAGAGAAAGTTTAGATAGCCACCTAGAATTGGATAATACAACTGTACACTTTCATCACTTAGCATTATACACCATTAGATGCACCAAGAAGATTAGCTAAACCAAAAGAAAAGTAGGCCTTCATTACTTTCCAGTCACATTGCCAAGGAAGTTTTGAAGCCCCCTAACCCAAAGAGAGGGAACAAAGTTGAAGTGTGTAATTTACCCAATTACACAAGCATGCATGTGATCAGATGACTGTATAAAAAGCATGCATACTTACGCTTTAACCCTGGGTCCTTCACCTTCTTCTGATATCTTATATAACTTTCCGTGCATGACGTATTCAAATTTATCAACAAGTGATGTCCGGCCACCCTGAAATTATGTTACCACTTAGAACAGAAAAATTATAATTTGAGGATCATTGAACTCCAAAATCATCCCCCATAAAATATTTCAAGGTTGAACACAACAAGATTGTTACCTGAGAGATAAAACTAGTTGACACCAATGTTATTAAACCCGGCCAGATCTAGTGGGTTGACCGGAGTGAGTAAAACTGGTGGCCCATTCAACTGGTGCCAAGATCGGGCTAGTTTAATAGTTGGATGGTTTGTGTAGGAAAATTGTTCAAGAGCCGATCAGTTTATACCAACCTAGGAAGCACAGACACGGACACGAGAATACGATAAAGTTCCAAAATATAGGATATGGATACAGCAAAGATATGGCTAATTAAAATAATATTATATATTTTTTATATAAATAACATTAATAATTAGACTTAAAAATCATTGAGTAGTTAGTTAATATCTTACAAATAGGTAATAGGATAATATTAAATTGGGCAGTGAGCTAATATGTTAGAATTGGGCAGTGGGCTAACACCAAATTGGGTTGTGGGTTAACACAAAAGTGAGTTATGTGTTAATTTATTTGACAACTAATAGATAAATTATACCCAAAAAAAAATATTAATAAGGGTATTAATGTAATTTATATAAATATTATTAAGGGTATTAACTACCGACAACTAGCAATCTCCGTTCAGTCAAGAGAGAGAGAAAGAAAAAGAAAAAAAAACAGCAAGGGCACAACAACTCACGATCTCAGGAAGTAGAATGAGAGAGGAAAAAGGAAAGGAGAACAGAAGGAAGAAAGTTTGAAGTAGATCTGAATCTGATCGTTGAAGCAGATTCAAAACTGAACGTTGAAACAGATCTGGTATGTCCCTTCGCCTCTTTTTCTCTGTTCTGTCGATCTGGTTTTCTTATCTTCACCTCTTCTTCTCTCTACTAAAGATCTGGTTTTCTTCTCTCTTTTCTATTTATATTTGAAAAACTACTCTATTTTTTTTTGCAGCCCCTTATTCCCCCATATCCCCAACGTATCCGGCTTCAAAAAATTATTGTTCATTGTTCAAGACACAGTAGAAGTGTCGAACATATGTCTGACACCGCCACGTCAACCTCCGGCGAAGTGTCCGTGCTTCCTAAATACCAACCAATAAAAACCAGCCAGTTATTGAAACCCAAATGGGTCGTGGATCTACTTTAAAATGGTACTCTCTGAATTAAAGTTTTTTGCCCTAAAATCTCCCATAAGTTTTATTTCTCTACATCTGTCTCTCAAGGCATCGCTTAGTGGTAAGCATGCCTCCACCATCTTCCTTCTGAAATCACAGATGATAGACCTTTGGTCTATTTTTCGATAAACCCATTTAAGTTCATAGGTTTTGCAACATATCTTTGGCGTATCAGACATGACATGGGCAACCAACTGCCATTTTCCTTTAGCTTCAACCCTCTTGAACCACAAGAATGTAGATTTTCCCGGTCTCCCTAATTTCCTTATAACGGGGATGATGCGGGTATTTTCTACCTTTGCCATTACCAAACTTGCACAATCCACGGCATAGCCAAATTGACACCAGATGCCACATTCAAATTGAGAAGAATATGTTGTTATTTGATCACGTAATATTGGAAATGATTTAGTTGTAGAGTTTGAACACAATTGATTAATTAATTTTTTATGTCACATTCAGATTAAGAAGAATGTGTTTTTATTTGATCATGTAATAATGGAAATGATCTAGAAAGCACAGACACTTCGCCGGAGGTCAACGTATCGATGTCAGACACGTGTCCGATTCTTCTGAACAGTGAACAATGATTGAAGCTTGGATGTGGGGGATACGGGGCTAGAAAAAAAAAAGGATAGGTCGTTGATCGAACAGAGTAGAGAAGAAGAGAGAAAGGGAGAAGGAGAGGTGAAGAGACATATCAAATTTGTGTCAACGATTAGCTTCCGATCTACTCCAAGCCTTCTTCCTTCTTTCCTTCTCTTCCTGAGATCTTGAGTTAGTGCCCTAGCTACACTCTTCTTGAGACGGTGCCCTAGTTGCACTCTTTTATTTTTCTTTTCTCTCTCTCGACTGAATAGAGAAACGACATTCTTTTGTTAATATTTCTCTTTTTTTGATATAATTTATTTGCTAGTTGTCAAATAAATTAATCCACATCACACTTTTGAGTTTGCCCATAACCGAATTTGGTGTCAACCCACTATCCAATTCCAACATATTAACCTAGTGCCCAATTTAATATTAGCCTATAACCCAATTGTAAGATATTAATGAACTACTCAATGATTTTTAAATCTTATTATTAATGTTATTTATATAAAAAATATATAATATTATTTTAATTAGTCGTATCCTTACCATATCCGTGTTCTATATTTTGAAACTTTGTCGTACCCCCACATCCGTATCATATTGGATACGACACCCGAATCCGTATCGTATCGGATACGACACTTATGTCTATATCCGTACTTCCTAGAAAATGATTTAGTTATAGAGTTTGAACACAACTGATTAATTAATTTTTGTTGGGGTTGTCATTAAGCATGCTATTTTCTAACTTCATTAAGTTTTTACGATAATAAATATTATTTGTAATTAAATTTAATTTTTATTATATAACCGGTCCAAAGAGTTGACCAAACAGTTTGACCAATTGACTCGTTCCCTTTGCAGAGTCAATGTCCAAGCGGGGTCTAATCACCATGTCAACTCCTCAGCAATTCCTAAAGCGTTTGGCGCATGCTAATCTGTATAAAAGCTTCCTTGGTGTATGCACACATTATAGTAGGCATAAAAGGGCAGTTTACTACTAAATGTGTAAAGAGAATCACTAAGTTGTCTGATGAGTATAAAATTATGACCCTTCTACAAAGCTCCATACTATAACTACTCCGAAGTCCAAAGACCTGATTGATGACTAAGTGGCAGCAATCTCCCATCACCTATCAATTTGAAGGGCAATTGCAATATCGGTTGCACTACACATGAAATGATAGATACAAAGTTGGACAAGACGAGAATCATAATGTGATATCACGCAACGGTATGAAAAGTATGTTACAACTCAACGAGGATGACTGCCAAGTCATTTGTAATGTCTATGAGTTAATCGCGAGTTAACTCAGACTCATGGTTTACACACAACATGCACTGTCCGTGGAATAGAAATTGCTAAGTCATATGTGACTAGGTCTATTCTTTGAACACTGCAACAATGACCCTTAAAGAAGAATCTAGCAAACCTACCTAAAATTTTTGTAGCAATTACTCACAACAAAATAACATTAAACATTAAGCACGCCAACCTCATGAAGATACCAAAACATTAATCAAAACATCTTCCTTTCTATAGGCAATGATGCATTAAACATTAGGCACACACACCTAAAGAAGGCACATAACACATGGCAAATTATCTCCATCCCCTAAAGTAAGTGGTGAACGTCTCTGAAGATATGATAATATGATTTGACAAGATCACCCAAATCAACTTTTGATCCTTATGTATCTCTTGGATTCTTGTTTATCTTAATGAGATCTAATTGTAGTTTCACCCTATATATGGGGTGTAGTTTACTTGTTCTAAGTACCAAGAATTAATGAAATATATAGCCTATTAGGTGTTGGTTTGTGGATGACACTATGTACAAAACCCTGTAAATCTCTCGAGTTCTTTCTTGATGTTTACTTTTATGTTAAAATTCAATATGGTATCAGAGCGGGTCATTCAAACCTTGCTTAATCTTGATTTTGTTTTCGTATTTTGACGACATTCATTCCGAGCTTATGTTTCTAGTATTTGCACGATAAATCATTTCATGCATACAATAATTTTCGGGTGATTGCTATCAGCTTCACTCATTTAAGAGGAAGGTGTTCACCTCTTTGTTCAAGTCATTCAAGTGATTGTTATCAACTTCACCAATTTCAACAAGGTGGTTATCAGGTTTATCAAAATCATTTTAAGGTCATTCCATCTTCAAGTTCATGTTAGACATTGCCCTTCAACATTTTCGTGTCCAACTTGAGGGGGAGTGTTAAAGATAAGATCAGACATCTGGGATTCTAATTTATCTTAATCAAATCTGATTGTATTTTCACCCAGTTTATAGGATGTAGTTTGGTTGTTCTAATTACCAACAATTAATGAACTATATAGCGGCTTAGGATTTGGTCCGTGGATGTAGGCATTATGTGCCAAACAATGTAATCCCTTAAGAATTATTTCTTGATGTATACTTTTATGTTAAATTCAATAATGAGGTTGCATTAAACACCAAGTATTCATACCAAAAGAAGATACATAACACATCTAGATCAAAATGTATTTATTCCATTTTATGAAAAGAAAGCTTATATAAACAATATACACAATACATGTAGCTCAGTTGTGACCTTGCCTAATACCAGCCCTCATCCATGCTTGTTCAATAAGAAAATAAACCAAGCTTGAGCCCCACTCTTAAACTCTTAAGAGCTGTTTGGTAAAGGGGTATGGGGGGGCTTGTCAAGATGTGTTTGGAGAAAATAGTCCAAAGCTCCCCCAAATCTCATGTTTATATGAAAACTTCAGTCCCGGGTTTTCAAACCTAACCCGAAGATTAAACCCATGATCATGAGTTTCGTCAAACCTAGGGAGGAGGTGAGTTTGGGAAGATGGGTAAGGAGTTAAAGATCCAAAAAACAATTGTACCCCTAAATATGGGTATGAATTGGATTGATCAAGGATAAAATAGTCATTTATAAGACAAAAGTTGTTAATAATTATGATATATCTGTGGGTCCTACATGTGTATGTGTTGTATACCAAACATGGGTATGAATCAGATTAAATATTGAATCTCATCTTTGCAAAGAGGGGTTTGGGTTTGGGTTTGGGTTTGGAAGGGTTTGGAAAAGTCAATCCAAACCCTTCCCCAAAATTCATCCAAACAAGCCCTCATGGTCATAGGCAAAAAAGCCCAATACAAAAAAGTTGAGTTGGGCACAATTGGCTTTAAAACATAAAATGGTTCATTTATAATGAGAGTTAATATGAGGGTCATTGTTCAAAGAATCATTGAAGTCAAACTTGGTAACTTATGTTCTTAGACTGATACACATTTCACGTAAACCACTAGTCTCACTCAACTTTTAGTTGACTTGGCAATGGCTCGTCGCCTTGACCGAGTCAACTACATCATCATCATTGAATCACAACATATTGTCCAATACCCTTACACGACGACACAATGTGGCTAAAATATCTCGCCAATGTTCAACTTCTTCTATCATCTATCAGGTTGTGTTATTGTCCAATAACATCCAGCGACACCGCGGCGATATGTCAAAGGTGTCATCTGAGTTAGTCTCAATATATCAGACCTTAAATCATGCAAAACACTCTCAATCTATTCACATAGCTACATTAGATCAAATACTTGGATTTTGTTTCACTATCCATTTGACACAACTACAACATCGTTTAAATTGCAGGACAACTTTTGGCTTAAATAGAAACAAAAGTACTCTAGAGAATGTGTTCCACTTAGGCAAAACCAAGATAAGACGTTGCAAGTGAATCATGAGATGGAAAATTTTAGTGGCATTTATCAATAACATCAGCAAAAAAACCAATCTAATAAGGAGTTCAAAATAATTATGTTCTATGTTCAATCATCATTAATAAACCCCACCCTTATTCGATTGAGGCAGTTGTAGCACAATCGGTAAAGTATTAAAATAGCATTTCCAGGGAGGGGTTAAGAAGGAAGGGTTAGGGGTTCAAAAATCATACCTAGCCAATCCTCCCTCCCCTCCCCACCCCCAAAAAAAACTTTTTCAACCCGCAAAGAGAGAGAGAGGAGAGAGAGTGTGTGTGCATAAGAACAATTTACCTTGCTATACTAATAAAACTACCTGAGTATAATAACCAGAGTCGGGTGTTCCATCCAAATTTAGAGTGGAAGCTAATACCATCATGAACTTCTCCCCAACATGCATACGATATATCTCTGTATTCACATCTAGCTGCATGTACATATTAAACTGCTCACTCGTTGCTTCAATGCGAGAAACTAACAAAACATATTTAAGGGTTGTTAGCTAAAAACATCAATAGTATACTTCTGCACATTTCAATGTGAGAAACTAACACAACATATTCAAGGGTTGTTAGCTAAAACCACCAATAATATACTTTCTACACATTTCATGGAATCGTGCAGGCTCTGAGATCATGTCAAAAAGTACTTTGTCTAAGCAAGAAGAGCATTTAAACACGTTATGCATTCTCTCGCGGATGACAATTGCTAATTAACTAAGAAAATTAAAGGGTACTACATGAGATAAAATAAAAGAAAAAGGACACAGTGAAAACTTAAGAAAAATCCAAATGAAATGATTTCAAATTCACTCCTACCAAACGAATCCTCCTCTATAGTGCACATTTTCATGCATCAACTCATAAGGTGCACCGGTCATGTGTCCCAGTATTTATGTTTTCATAAGGATTTCAAAATAACTAACCACAGTAATCCTTTTTAACGTTTTATGTATTATTCCTTCATAGAGCCATGCGTTAATTTGATTGGTAGTATTATCCACATTAAATATTTAGGCATACTAGATTGCTCCCAAAATTTCCTAAGTTTACACGTACTCTTCAAGTAACCTTGATTTAATCTCAAGAAAACATTTCCCCAAATCATAGGTAGCACCTGTCATGAGATACTTATCAATTGCCAAAGCCTCAAACTGAAGGCCAAGCCAAGCCATGTTTTGCTTTGAATGGCAAATTGGGGCCTAGGCCATTTAATGGGGAAGAACATACAATATTGGGTTTTTTTTTTTTTAGCTTGGTTGTTTTTTTTTTTTTTTGGGGGGGGGGTTGTTATTTAAGACTTACGCAAATCGAAACGCTCATATCTAAAATCTTTATGGCAGCCAAAAGCATAAACATTACAAACACGAATAATATCTCAAATCTTAACACTAACAAAAATATAAACATTCAAATTCAAAAATAAAAAATAAAAAATATCTCAAATCCCAGCATTTAAAGCAAAAAAATCAAAAACCAAATATCGGAAGAGGAGAAAAAACCTCAAACAAAAGCAAAGCTCCAACAATAGTGAATCGTTAAACCAGTAGAAGCAGAGCTTTAGCTCCACCACACACAAAGAAGAAGAGAAGAAAAAGTACACACCTACTGTCTGTGAATCATTATTTTGGAAGAGGAAAAAAAATTTTGTTCTAGTGAGATCGGATCATTTTTCTGGAAGAAAAAGAAGAATAGAAAGAGGACAAAAAGAAGAAGAAGAAGAGGAAAAGAAGAAAAAACCTAGGTGAATTAGATTCTCGGGTTGCGACTTCAACCCTAACGTTGTTCATCTTCAGCTACCCCTAATTATTAATCAATTTTATTGAAAAAATTTAGGGTTAGACATATATATGGATCAAGTGGCAATCAACTATTATGGCATATCTAATTTTTTTATCCAAATTGATCAAATCTAACGACCCATAATAGATTCAGAAAGGTAGGTTCGCTTCTCACCTAGACGCGTTTACAAACACTTGAGAAGTGGGGGGGGGGGGAAAGGGGACACTAAGGTATAAGCAAATATGTTGAATCCTTTTCGCCGCCACCCATCCACCTAACCCCAAGCAGCCCAGCCAAGCTCTCTTTCTTTCCCAAGGCCCAAGATCAAAATATTATTTCGAAACGTCCGAAATATTTCTGTTTTCAAGGAGACCGAAACGAATCAATAATGCAATCAAAATTCTAATATTTCGAGATATTTCATAGTGTTTCAAGATATATTATAATATTTCAATGCATTTGTACAATTGTTTCGGAATATTTCAAAGTATTTCAAGATATTTTGATATATTTAAACTAATATTCTAGAAAAATATTTCTTAAATTTTTTATTTTTCTCATTATATTTCTGAAACGAGTCGAAACGTTTCTGAAACACATCGAAATGTTTTCCTTTCCTTGGTGACCGAAACAATACTCCGAAACGAAACTTTGATCCTTACCCAAGGTTATATGTCCGCCACTAATAAAAAATTTCATAATGTCACCACTATTAGTTTTAGTATCCTACATTTGCAAAAGCTAGAAACACATAAACAAAGGAACAAACATATAAAATTCATTGAAAAGTTGTGCTGATAACAAGGAAGTCAATGTAAACTTAAGCTCGGTGGAGGAATAGAGTGGGGTTAAGAGGAGTGAATACTACTGTTGAGAAAGAAGGCACGACACAACATAGCCATATTTGGTGGCGTGCCTTCCAAGGAGTCCAAGTGATGTCAATGATCCATATGGCAAAAAGTGTTTAGATACGTTTAATTTTGTTAAAGAAAGAATATTGTCTACAGGACCCAACATCATGATTGGGGGTCATCCTAAAAGGACACCACATCCTAGCATCATCATGATTCCCCAAGATTACGAAAGCATGATCAGGATATTGCCTACTAGTTCTAGCATATGAGGCCATACTATAAGAAAATCTTTGCAATGTTGTCACCCTTGGCATAGCATTTCTTCTCAACATATCACCATTTTGCAAATTAGAAAATCCATGATTTGACATTATACACAATTGTCAAGATGATGTATAACATAAATCTTATCCACTTCAATTCCAAGCATTTTGCAACAAAGAGATATCATTAATCATTGGCATACAAATAGACCAAATAACACACACATAAGTGCATGGTCATATGCAGCACAATGAAGATATAAGCTGCAAAACTTTTAAAAAAATACCAAGTTGCATTAATTTCATACAAATAAAAAAAAAAGATAAACTTGTACTATGAACATTTCCAAAAACTTTAACAAATTAAAACTGAAGAATTTATAAAGGACCAGCTAACATTATTTAATTTACCTTTATCAAATTTTTTGCCATCTGGATCCAGCTTATCCACCACAAAGATATCTTCAAACAGAGTTTCAACCATCCTAACAGCAAAGTCACCACTGAACAGAGAATTCCCACCTCCAAACATGAGTATTGCAGAAATTTTTGCTTCGCAGTGGTTCGATGGAGAGAGAGAGAGAGCTAACCTTAGATACTCAGGGGTTCGATCCTCGTCGCCAAAGCCAAGAGAGGAGACCAGACAGAGGGAAGCGGTGGGGGACAGCCGAGGTATGTGCTAGAGGATGGAGAGGCGAGAGAGAGACAAATGTGAAAATTGAAATATTGAAATGAATTTAGGGTTAGGGTTAGGGATCCAAGCATAGGTAATTCGGGTTAATAATGGGTTACGCTTGTTAGTATCAACCCGATTAAATACACAAATCAATTTCGGGTTGATTTCAAATTATTTTACGGGTTCAATTCGGGTTGAGTTTGGGTAGAACCTAAAATAGACTTGTTGTTCTAAATATAATATATATATTACATAATATTCACATCAATTAACAATCAATAACTTCAATCAAGTTTTTAACATAAAAATCATAATCAAAACATAAAAACTATTGCCACCAGTCCACTGCGAGAGAGCCAGAAAGAGGGAGAAACATAAAACATAATTCATATATATATATATAATTTTTTTTTAATTTATCAGATTTCGGGTTAAACCCATGAACCGGAGGCCTTAACCTAATTTCAATTTAAATTAAATTCGAGTTGAAATTTTTTGACTCAAATTCAATTCAAGTATAAAAAATCCTTATCCAAATCCTAATTTTATTTTTTGGGATTGGGCTCTTGTTGAAATCGGTTGCCCGACCTAAGATGCACCCCTAAAGCCATTGAGTGACTGTGTGTGTGTGAGAGAGAAAGGAGAAGACTTACAGTTACAGAAGGAAGGAGAAGGGAGAGTGATCGAGTGGGTGACTGAGCTGAGGAGATCGATTACCTGGGTTCAGTCTTGTACTCCTGTACTGTGCTGCTGTGCGTCTGGGGAAGAGAAGACTGAAGAGGGGTGTTTGTTGATTTAGGGCAAAATTGCCCCCAAAACTAAGGTTTTTCAATTTTTTAATATCAATTAAAATTCGAACTAGCCCATTTTAAAAAATCGTCCAGCTCATTGGTTTTATCTAAAAGCGTTCTGTTTTACAGTTTATGAACGATTTCTTTGCACAGGCGGTAGTTTTATTAAACCGAACCGAATTTAGGGACCAGTTAACCACATTCGCAGCAGCCAAACAAAAAGAGATCATCAAGGAAGAAGAAAACGACGGACCTGAAGACTTCGATAGTCCGCAAGAGCAGTGCAGTGTGTACAGTTTAACGAACAGAAGGGCTGTTAGAGTGGCAGTTATACTTAATCGGTGTTTGCCTTGTAATATTATCATATGAAGAGGGTTGTTTTAGTAATTTTGAATTCAGAATGCAGCCCATACAAACACCGGCTGGTGAGCTGATTTCATTATCCAATCCACATTCAAAGGAGACCACTGACTTCTGAGTTTTATTAAGCAAAAGAGGAAATGGCTTCATCTCTGCTACTTTCATTAGGTAATAATACAATTATATTCTCTCTCTCTCTCTCTCTCCCTCTTTTCCTTTCCTTTTTCCGTTGAATTAGTCAATTCTCTGAATTAATGTTTATATTTACCTCATTAATCAAACAAAGCCAGAAAGAATTTTTGAAAAACGACTAATCAAGCAATTAATCAAATAAGTAACAAACACCAAAAAAGAAGGAAGAAATAAGAGCCTGGAAGAATGTATAAGATATAATTTTGGTTAGTGAGCATGAATGGACCTTCTAGGACTGTGTTGACTGAAGCTCTCTTTGTCCATTTAATCCTGATTTGCTAGAGTAATGTCCCGAGTTGACTATATTTTTGTTTTCTGTTCATGGCATGTTGTCATTGCTTTGCAATACACAGAAAATAAATTAAAGAATAAAATTGAAGCAATGTTATTATCTTTGACGTGGGAACTATGAATCTACATCCGTTCCAGTTTCAGAAGATATTTTTCCCCTAATGGTAGGCCTTCTTTTCTTTTTTGGTTTTTTCACGGTGGGGGTGATTGTTCTTGTTGCTGCTTTTTACCAATGGAGCATTTATTATTTCACACAAGGATCTTTCCTGAAGCAGACCTTCAGGAAGACATTGTCTGATAAATCAGTTGCCTTTACTTTCCCAGTTCGTGATTCACTACATCTCGTATGAAGTAATGATTGTAGCAACAGTAATATTAGGCTTACCAAGTTTTTCATCCAAGTATTGTGGCATTATCTCCATCATTGAATATTAATAGACTCACTTATTTGATGGTGAAAACTGTGTTTCATCACTTGAGATGGAAAACTTGGTAAAAAATCTTGATCAGCATAACATTGTTGTTGTGGCAACATCACCATTTTGTTCTTGCAATAAAGATCCACTGCATTACATTACCGTTTGGACCTTTGTGGGCTTTCCAAAACATTTTGCTGATCTTATAATCGAAATTGATTTTATATATTTTAGTTGAGTCTTTCTTTGATACTCCTTTTAAACTGAAAAAAAAATAGGTGATCACATTTCTTTTGATAGATTTCAACTGAGATTTAGTGCAAAACAAGCCAAAATAAGTGTTGTCTAACCAATAGGTAAATTTGAAAAGTTTATATGAAATATTTATTTTTGTAAACTTAGATATTTGAAGAAGGTAAAGACAATGGAAAACTGACAGTTTGTTGCCCTTTGTGAACAGCCTCTCATTATTTTCTAGATAGATACAGAAAGGAAACTAACCCAAAAGCAGCTATTAGACTGCTTGTTTTCTGTATTGAATTATTTTCTTGAAAACTAATTCCTGTAAAATGGTGCATATATTTGGGTTCCTAAAGAGAACATTAAACCAAATCATCTGGTTGTCTTATTTAAACCCTCTTGAAGCGAATCTCCAGCCAGGAATCAATCTTTGTGGTGACAAGCGGATCTTGACAGGCGACAGAAACCACTCTGATGAATCAACTGGCTATGCTTCCTCCTGTTTCATTTTTTTTGAAAATGCTCATTGTCTAGATTGCAGCACACTATCATAAAGAAGATGAAGCCTCAGCTTCTGCATTGAATATATACTGACCTATATGTGCTCTACAAAATGTCTTTCTGGTCTTGTTATGTACTTAGTATCTCTTTCATCTTAATTCTTTTTGTTCTTTCTTTTATCTTAATTGTTTTTGTGCTTTGGAGACTATTTTTACTTTTAACTTTCTACGCAATAACTGATCAAATTCCCTCTGATGGACCCCTACTAATTTCTTTCTGTGATACTATATTGCATTTCTCTGATAAATGATATGTACTGGTTTAGGTGCTCTATTTTCTAAAAGTTTGTCAACCGCGGATCACACAACCATTAGAGGCCATAAAGATGCAATAATGTGCTGCTCTAGTTCAAAACATAGAGTACAAACTTCAATGACAATAAAATGTGGGGATGAGTTGGACATAATTAAGCGCAAGAATGTGCTTGGGCTACTTTTTGGTGTTTCAAGCCTCTTGATAGGCTCACTTGATGCTAAGGCAGGTGGCTTGCCCCCAGATCAAAAACCAAGACTCTGTGATGATACTTGTGAGAAAGAGCTTGACAATGTATGGTGACACTATATAGCTCCCTCATCTGTTGCATTTCTTTCAGCACACCCTCGAAAAAGTTCGCCATATTTCATAAACTGTCACATCTCTTGCTTGATTTTTAAAACATAAACTCAGAGCTCCTAGCGATACTAGAAGTTATGAAGGCAGCATTTGGAATTTCCAATACATGATCCACTGTTTCTTTTGCATCTCTTTTTTATTTTGGTGAATATTAGATTTTCAGAAGTTGCCCCACTACTTATTGCCTCACATCAAGGCAAATTGATTTGCCTTCAAAGATTGAGATCATCAAGCAAATTCCATCATATTCATCCCTTGCATGTTTTAACTTACCTACACATGTACCCATCAATTTTTATTTTTTTTTATCAGATCAATCAATTCATATAGACTTGCATCTTCTTCTTTCCACACTCACAAGCTCATTTTTGTAACTGTTATTGATTTCCTGCATAACTGTTATTTTCTGCACAATACATGCTTCTTGAGATACAATGGAAATTAGACTTCTGTGGATCATACTAGGTGTAATAAATCTTCTTATTGATGAAGGTACCAATGGTAACTACTGACTCCGGTTTGCAGTATAAGGATATCAAAGTTGGCAGAGGCCCTAGTCCCCCAGTTGGTTTTCAGGTATTTTTGTTGATCTCTAAAACTTCTGTTTTTAATCTGCAAACAAAAAAGAATACAGGATGTTGATCATTAATATTCTTTCGTTAATCAAAACAAAAGGTTCTCTCCTATTCTATTGTTTAATCGTGATAGAATTTGGTACCACCAATGTTTTTGGTTTCTGACTTTAATTTCATTCTCATAGTTGTTATTATATCTAGTAAAATCATGGTTCAAAGTATCAATAGAAACCGATATAATTTGGCGAAGTCGTATCGGGACTGGCACCTTTTCTACACGGACCCGCCCTTTGACTACTCCTAAAATATTGTGGAAATATTTTGTTATAGTTGAGAATGGGATGTGAAAACACCAATGCAGCGGTGAATGACCGCATGAATCGGAATCCACTTAGTCCTTGTGAGTCATAAGTCTCCCTCAACTCGGAAATGTTTCAAACGACTTGATTGAGTCGTCAAAGACATCATCATCAAATCACAGCATATGTGTCTAATACCGTTTCGCAATATCGCAATATAGCCTGAACCTCTCGGTAATCCAAGTTCTTCTACCTAGCATTTTGTGTGATCGTTCAACACAGCCCGTGATGTCGCGACCAATGCATCTCAATGCCCTTTGAGTGAATGATTGATACCTCCCAACATTTAACCTTCAATAATTTATTTCTTCCAATATAATGTCCATGAATATTCCTTTTGTTGCTCAATTTTGACTTAGAAATCATGGGTTCAAACCACAAAATAGCCTCTCTACATACAGAGGAAAGACTGTGGACATCTGACCTTTTCAAAACCCGCAGTGGCAGGAAACTCGTGCACTGGGCAATTCTAATCCTCCTTTTGGTATTGAAATGAATTTCAGTGGCATGCTTTACCACATTTAAATCTAGTAACTACATTTGCTAGCAACAATATAAATGATATAAGAATATATCAACATTATTTTGCTATATGTATGGTTCAAAGTATTGGCCGATACCGATATAAGTAGGCCTAGTCGTATTCGACTCGGCACCTTTCGAGACAATATCGTTTGGCGATACTTATAAATTCTGAATCTTGGCCAAGTTGGCCGAGTTGTCTTCAAGTCAATCCCGAGTTGCCGTGTGAACGTCACCGAATCGGCCAATACAGTTCCGCAACGCTGCGATATGATCCGGATTTCTCATCATGCTCAATATTTTCTTTTATGTTGTTTCGCCCGATACCGGGTCGCGACACCGTGACCGATATGTCTCAAAATCCTCCAAGTCAATAGTCAATACTGCGACCCTGAACCATGGCTATATATGCAGAGGGGTATGCCATTTTGATGGACTATTTGTTGAAAGTCAAAAGAGACTAAATAGAATTGCTCTGACAGTTTTTTTCTGGCCAAACAAAATTTTCTAACCCATTAATTAAACATGCAATGTTGTGGCAGTTATTGGCCACAAAATTAAAAACTATAATATTTGTAAACCTTTTCTCACAGATCTGAACTATGGTGCCAAATAACCAACAAAAGAATGTATTCCAACAGAAGTATGACATGACAAATCACATAACCTTTTATTCTTCCCTGGGGTTTTCTAGAACTTTTTTTTTCAATACTTTGTCCACAATTATGTTCTTATGTGAAAGTTTCAAATTTTTCTACTTAAACTTTGTGAGCATCAGAATATACTAATTATTAAAGTATCCTGCCTATAGTTTTAAATGCATCATGATTCGTGCATTGGTACGACTATATGAGGGCTTATCTGAAACCCAACATTAACATAATCTGTAACTTTCGTAATAATGTGGTTTAATCTCTTCCATCACTATGGGGAATAGCTGTGCCATTTAACTAAGTGACATGCCTGCCAATATACTGTATGGTAAAGCATCCAACCAAAACCATTTGCCAATGGGAGGAAAAGCCCCACAAGAATAATATGAGTTTGGGAGGTGTTATTTTATTAATATGATAAAAGGTCTAATTTTTTTTTTATCTACATATGTTTCTTCTCTTCCTGATAGCTATATCATTCATGGTAACAGGTGGCCGCAAATTATGTTGCCATGGTTCCATCTGGACAAATATTTGACAGGTAATTAGTTAATTATGTTTGGACTACTAGTGAATTGATGTGTATTCTATTAGCTAACACATCTATTAATTATTGAACTTGAAAAAGTTTATTGTTTATTGCTAAAACGCACGATCCCAATCCTTTTGCCTCCCCATCAATCCAAGATCGGATCCCGATTTTAAGAACCGTAAGAGATAGTTCAATTTTATCATTAGATACAGTAATATCATACTGAGATGTAGAATAGATTGTCTACGACCTAGTCATACTGTGCCTAGGCCAGTTCAACCAAATTTGTGCCACAAGTCCAGTACCATTACTTAAGAAACAAATGAAAAGTTCTTGTTTTCTGTTAAAATTAATACAAATAGGTTACATGCACAAATGTATTTTTTTATTTACTTATTCCCATTGTTTCTTTGATGACAACATCACAGTTCATTGGAGAAAAGCCAGCTTTACATTTTTCGTGTGGGCTCTGGTCAAGTAAGTTGTTAAAAAGTGGCTCCTAAACTCTTTATAGTTATAGATCTCCTACTCTGATCTATATGCAATCAAAAAATATATTTTTGTTAGTCTCAGTCTATGCTAAACTTGTGTAACAGAGCTTGTTTTAGTTGTGCTTGCTTCTGTTTCAATCTACCATTTTATCAAAAATCAGCTTCTGCTTCACCATACGAAAGCAATCTAGCTTTCGCAATGGGATTCAGCTCCCTGCCCCTCCTTGCAGCAATCAGGAATAAGAGACATTGGATCCCCATCGAAAAAGGAAAAGAGA